ATGTATCCTGGGTTTGATTTCTCTTGGAGAATTTCTCTTTAGACTCTTAACTTGCGAACAAATTGAAGCAGCAAACTTTAGGCTAGAAACTTTATTGAATTGAAATAATCATTCCACGTAACAACGTCTTCTTCAGTTCTGTAATAAAATTGTTAAACATGTGTAAAAATTAACGACGGAAAGAAATTTAAAATAACATTAAAACAAAAACAGAGAAATAAAATTTACGAAATATGACCCAAAAATGTAATTGCAAAAAATGTCAAAACAACAAAAAATACGACAAGAAGAAATGTAAGCTAATACAACTAAATACTGTACTACTCATGATACTAAACTAATTAGTAAACGTAAAACTGGTTGTTCAGAATTCACAGTTCATGTGTAAAAACTAATGATAAAATCAGCACTTAAGCAACGATAACTCGGTTGTCATGGTTACTATCCAAGATAGTCCTATCAATACATTATTTACTAGTTAAACATCGACTAAATATTTGTACAAATAACTCAACTCAGAACGATCATTCATTTCAGGACTTAATCTCAATATATACATCGCTTCTACAATCTTTCTACGAACAGTTTTACTCTGTAAATCAAGTAACTTAAAAGATAAAACTGGGGTTCGGTTAGGATGTAGAGATGCGTAGTGCTGTCCAACCCCATTCTCTGGATGTGCTCTAGGATTCCTAGCAGCCTGTCTGTGCTCCATCAGACGAGCATGGAGGCTTCTCTCAGTTTCCCCACAGTATCTCTTACCACATAACTCGCAAGTAACTAAGTAAATAGCTCCTTTTGTTGAGCATGTTGTTCCTGTGAGTCTAGGGCAGATCTCACAATTGTTAGGGTTACCAAGGTCACAAGTCTTCTTATCCAGTGGACGAGAGCGGCAGAAGATGTCCTGTAACTTCTTACCAGGTGTAAAAATAACTCTGATGGGGAGTTTGTTAGATTTGATGTAGTTGCGAATCTTATTACAAACTGTTCCAGAGATGAATGGTAAGGTGAGTGGGACAGAGTCAGGTGTGGTTTGACGTCTTCTCCTAGTCCTCCTGTTCCTTGCGTTATGACTCAGAGGTTGGTGTCCATTTTTCTTTAAGAGATCATCGATGATCTTAACTGAATGATCGAGTTCCTGGGGTCCTGAGGAAGCAATGGTGGCATTACGGTAGAAGTTCTTCTTACACTCCTCCTTCACTGAGTCCGGGTGGTGTGACTTCTGGTGTAATGTTATCCCCTTGTTCTTGGTTTTCCTGTAGAATCTGTGGTGCACTTTTCCTTCCTCATCGATCCGGATTTCCGTACTCAGGAACGGGACAAAATCCGCAGGGGTAGACGGGAACTCGATCTCCCACTTGATTCTGTTATCGGGATCCTGGTCGGCTATGCGTTGTAACATATCCAGTGCTTCTTCTCTGGATTTGGCTCAGGAACCAGCATCATCTACATACCGTTTGTATAAGAACCGAACAGGGTTACTGATGTAATAACTGTCTAAATATATACTATTACGCTCGAATTTCCACATTCTAATAATCGCTACAGGAGGGGATGGTCTACAACCCATGAATAAACCTAAAAGTTGTTTATAAAGTCTCCCATTAAATGTAAAATAAGAATTCGTCAAAACTACTGTAAAGATACCTCTAATTTCTGATAAACTTAAACAATACGTACTTAACTTACTCCAATGTTCTTCTGCAAATTCAATAACTGTCTCAATACACTCATTGATATTCAAATTCGTATACAAAGCTGATACATCCGCTGTAAAGAACTGTAAACCTTTTAGTTCACTCTCTGGTAGCCTACAGAGGATGTCCAGGTGGCTGTAGATATCGTACATATGAGTAGGTACTTCTCTCAACAAAGGACTGATAATGTCGGTAACTAACCAAGCCAACTTTTCTGTAGGTGAGCCACAACACGATACGATTGGTCTAACTTTCATATCCTCCAAGTTGATACGAGAGTAGTCAGTATCAGGTGGGAACTTGTGTGTCTTCACCAGGGTGTACATAGTAGGTAATGTAGAGTACGAGCTAATAAATAAATCCTCAATACGTGAGTCTAATTCCATATGGTTACTGCAAATAGTCCGCCACAACCTATTACACTCTGATTCAATATCTGCACATTTCTTGTTAATTTGATTCTGATACGTTATAGGAGTAGGTCGTTGAACAGGTCTGCGTACTCCGTAACTCGAACGGGTGGGCTCTACCCATTCGTAGACTCCAGAAGTGCTCTTGTTCAGGTGTTCGATCGTTAGCGTCCGGTACGTATCAACACTAGTCACGACAAACTCGCCACACTTATCAGACTTCGAGATGTGAATGTTCGGTCTTTCCTTGAGAGTACGTAGTCCAGTTCGCTGATTAAAAGTGAGGTTTGATGGTGGCTGGATATCTGGTGCTCTCAGGATGCTCATCATAAACCGGTTGAACAATTTCAAGTCCATCTCGAGTTGTGGATCTTCGTTCGGTGGTGCAGGGATGTAGGGTCGTTGAAACGGGCATTTCTTCTTGCGTGCTTGCCTGTACAAAGAATCTAACTGTCCTGGGTTCAGAGCTTCGTTAGGTACGTTGGATTCGTTGTTACGTTTCCATCTGCACTTATACGCACATTCAGTCAAGTTCACTTCAACCTCTTTTATCAACGATTCATCCACTTTCCGAGGTAATGCGAATTTTGGACCGAGTGATAAGATGTCCAGCTCGGCCTCCGTAACGTTCAGTGGTTCCTCAGGATTGCAATCAATAACAGTAACTCGTGATGTAGGGGTGGATGGATCCACGATAGTGGTGTGAGGAGGAGGACTATAGGGGTAATGCTTCTGAAGTAACCAGTAAAACTTATTCTGAAGATGCTCCTTGTAATCACGTTTAACGTCTAGATTATTTGTCTCAAATACTGACAAGATTTCATGAAGACACCACTGATTCGAGAACACAAGATATAACTGGTGTTTAGTATCACAAATGTGTTGTTTCAAACAATTGATGTCCGTATATAACTGTTTAATACATTGATTTAAACTGAGGATGCGGATCTTATGTAACAACACAGAGAAGTCCAGAGGGAGATGATTAGGAAATAAAATGTCTGTATTCAAATTACAATTGTTCAAAATGAATGCTGGAAAAATCCTAGTAGCTTTGCATTTCTTCATAAAACATAACTTTTGTTCCGTGACTTTTAGTTTTTCACCTAAGCTAAGAAATTGACGGGTAAGCCCAATACTGGATCGAGGTAATCCCAGGTTGGATAAATAGTTCAAGGGGGCTATATTTATGAGTCGCATTTGAACTTGATTTCTCTTGGAGAATTTCTCTTTAGACTCTTAACTTGCGAACAAATTGAAGCAGCAAACTTTAGGCTAGAAACTTTATTGAATTGAAATAATCATTCCACGTAACAACGTCTTCTTCAGTTCTGTAATAAAATTGTTAAACATATGTAAAAATTAACGACGGAAAGAAATTTAAAATAACATTAAAACAAAAACAGAGAAATAAAATTTACGAAATATGACCCAATAACTCCCCATCAGAGTTATTTTACACCTGGTAAGAAGTTACAGGACATCTTCTGCCGCTCTCGTCCACTGGATAAGAAGACTTGTGACCTTGGTAACCCTAACAATTGTGAGATCTGCCCTAGACTCACAGGAACAACATGCTCAACAAAAGGAGCTATTTACTTAGTTACTTGCGAGTTATGTGGTAAGAGATACTGTGGGGAAACTGAGAGAAGCCTCCATGCTCGTCTGATGGAGCACAGACAGGCTGCTAGGAATCCTAGAGCACATCCAGAGAATGGGGTTGGACAGCACTACGCATCTCTACATCCTAACCGAACCCCAGTTTTATCTTTTAAGTTACTTGATTTACAGAGTAAAACTGTTCGTAGAAAGATTGTAGAAGCGATGTATATATTGAGATTAAGTCCTGAAATGAATGATCGTTCTGAGTTGAGTTATTTGTACAAATATTTAGTCGATGTTTAACTAGTAAATAATGTATTGATAGGACTATCTTGGATAGTAACCATGACAACCGAGTTATCGTTGCTTAAGTGCTGATTTTATCATTAGTTTTTACACATGAACTGTGAATTCTGAACAACCAGTTTTACGTTTACTAATTAGTTTAGTATCATGAGTAGTACAGTATTTAGTTGTATTAGCTTACATTTCTTCTTGTCGTATTTTTTGTTGTTTTGACATTTTTTGCAATTACATTTTTGGGTCATATTTCGTAAATTTTATTTCTCTGTTTTTGTTTTAATGTTATTTTAAATTTCTTTCCGTCGTTAATTTTTACATATGTTTAACAATTTTATTACAGAACTGAAGAAGACGTTGTTACGTGGAATGATTATTTCAATTCAATAAAGTTTCTAGCCTAAAGTTTGCTGCTTCAATTTGTTCGCAAGTTAAGAGTCTAAAGAGAAATTCTCCAAGAGAAATCAAGTTCAAATGCGACTCATAAATATAGCCCCCTTGAACTATTTATCCTGGGTTTGGACAGGATATTACCCGCTTAAAATACTTCCATCACGTTACATGATACTCAATAAATGTAATAGATTTTTTTCCTACTATTGCCGAAGGCAAAAAGATCGTAGGGAATAAGTAGAGGAATTGAAGCGTCTGTTATGCTGCGCGCGACGCTAGCCATGTGTTAATTAATTGAAGTGAAGTTCCTCCTTCGCAAAGTTATTTTCCGCAATTTTCTGGATTCATTTATTGTTGATGCGCGGCGCTGCATTGGTCAAATAAATCGTCAATTTTTACCATGCATGTGAATATGGTGCACTTTTTCTCCAGTCACGCTTTTCACTTAAAAGAATTAATGGTACATGGCAGGGAAAATTGATCGTGTGTGGTTTAACCGCGGCGAAATGCTTGTTAGTGTTGTAATTAGTTAAAAACTAATTATTATGGCTTATTTTGGACTTCTATTGTTAGGCATCAAGTACGGTGTGATATAACAATGCGGATAATCTTGCTGCTATCCCTTCTGATTATTGAGAATGCTGCTGAGGATCTAGATGAAGGTAGGATCACCATTCACAATGGTTTTGTTTACACATCTTTATATTTTTGCAGTCAGATAATATTTGTGAAATGATATTTTAATCAAATGAAATGTCAAAACGTGTACGTAAGATGAACTATCGTACGTAAGATGAACTATCGACCCAATATTATATAATATATTCATAACACAACAATCGTAAAGTAATTGCTTTAGTTGATAATATTTTACTCATGATACTACAATCATAAGTAAAATATTATCAACAAAGCAATTACTTTATTTTTATCTACCAACTGATGTACTGTAATCTACTTTAAGATAATAACGTTGTAATAACAACAGGCTGGGTAGCAGTACAACATGATGAATATATAGACTTCAATCTGGAGCAGTATTCTCTTGAAATAAAGACTGATAGCACGCTAGGGAGTGAAGATATAGCGTGGGTGATGTTCTACACTTCACAGGAAGACCTTGCAGGAGGACTCTTACTCTACTTCACCTCTACTCCTAAGTACCATATCATGTATTGCAGCTCGGACCGCACTAACTTCCTTACTGACCTACCTACTGCAAGAGACAAGGTATACGTATGGAGGGTAACGTTAACTAGAACCTCAGGTATCAGACTAGTGGTACACTGTAACGAGGTGGAGGTGATCAACACCCTGATGTCAGACTCAACGTGTAGTGACAGTGACTGGAGCATTTACTTGAGCAGGAGCAGGAGCATTGCAAAGATAAAGTTCCATTACTCTGAAACTGCCTCTGATTTCTACAGACCTCTAACAGGTAACTTGGTAGTTGAAGATCTAAAATCTAAGATACGAAGATAAATGTAGATTCAGATTGTAATACGTCCATAATAGTTTAATGTGCCTGTGAACTGCATAGAAATTCTTATTGGTAGTTAGTATCTAGCACTGTATAAAACATTATGTGAACTGTCAAACTTTTTTAAACAAATTACTAACGGCAATATTTGTACAGTGATATGTACTGGACTGAAGGCTGAGTGGACAAGTACGATTAAGACAGCAGCCAATTTTCCAGTAGACCCAGGCACCGTCGTGGAAGTGACTTGTTCTGACCCAGAAGCTCTCAACAAAGGGAGCAATGAAGTGACTTGCACGATAGGGACAGAGTTCACCTTCTCAAAAGAGCCTTGTTGCTTCAACCTAGGTAAATCATAATAATAATATTCGTTATGTACATACAAATCTCCATCAGTTTAATCTCCATTATAATTGAAAGGTATCATTGAAAGGTATAATTGAAGGGTATCATTACATCGTGAATTCACTTACTTAAAAGAACCTAGTTGTTCAGGTATAATAATAATAATATTAATTATTTGCTAAGTCATTTAATATGCATTTTGTGTTTGTTTCTCCCGTTTTTCTTCCCTTGCATTGCAAGCCCTGTCTCTTGTAAAAACAACCACTTTTGTAAATACACACACTCTCTACGCCTTTATCCTCTGGTCCCTAGGGTCAACTGACTCCGGGCCAGAGGAAAATTACCGATTGCCAAGGTTTGATGCCTAGGCAGTCGAGACCTATTATTGAGACCAGATATAATATTAATTATATTTAAACATTTCACGTGTCAGGAACAGTGCGTCACATCCCACCATAATCAACATCGGCTATACATTACTATACATTACTACATCCCACCATAATCAACATCAGCTATACATTACTATACATTACTACATCCCACCATAATCAAAATCAGCTATACATTACTATACATAACTACATCCCATCATAATCAACATCAGCTATACAATACTATACATTACTACATCCCACCATAATCAACATCAGCTATACATTACTATACATTACTACATCCCACCATAATCAACATCAGCTATACATTACTATACATAACTACATCCCACCATAATCAACATCAGCTATACATTACTACATCCCACCATAATCAACATCAGCTATACATTACTATACATAACTACATCTAACCATAATCAACATCAGATATACAATACTACATTCCACCATAATCAACATCAGCTATACATTACTATACATAACTACATCCCACCATAATCAACATCAGCTATACATTACTATACATAACTACATCCCACCATAATCAACATCAGCTATACATTACTATACATAACTACATCCCACCATAATCAACATCAGATATACAATACTACATTCCACCATAATAAACATCAGCTATACATTACTACATCCCACCATAATCAACATCAGCTATACATTACTTTACATTACTACATCCCACCATAATCAACATCAGCTATACATTACTATACATAACTACATCCCACCATAATCAACATCAGATATACAATACTATACATTACTACATCCCACCATAATCAACATCAGCTATACATTACTATACATTACTACATCCCACCATAATCAACATCAGCTATACATTACTATACATAACTACATCCCACCATAATCAACATCAGCTATACATTACTACATCCCACCATAATCAACATCAGCTATACATTACTACATCCCACCATAATCAACATCAGCTATACATTACTACATCCCACCATAATCAACATCAGCTATACATTACTATACATTACTACATCCCACCATAATCAACATCAGCTATACATTACTATACATAACTACATCCCACCATAATCAACATCAGCTATACAATACTATACATTACTACATCCCACCATAATCAACATCAGCTATACATTACTATACATAACTACATCCCACCATAATCAACATCAGCTATACATTACTACATCCCACCATAATCAACATCAGATATACATTACTATACATAACTACATCCCACCATAATCAACATCAGATATACAATACTACATTCCACCATAATCAACATCAGCTATACATTACTACATCCCACCATAATCAACATTAGCTATACATTACTATACATAACTACATCCCACCATAATCAACATCAGCTATACATTACTATACATAACTACATCCCACCATAATCAACATCAGATATACAATACTACATTCCACCATAATCAACATCAGCTATACATTACTACATCCCACCATAATCAACATCAGCTATACATTACTATACATTACTACATCCCACCATAATCAACATCAGCTATACATTACTATACATAACTACATCCCACCATAATCAACATCAGATATACAATACTATACATTACTACATCCCACCATAATCAACATCAGCTATACATTACTATACATTACTACATCCCACCATAATCAACATCAGCTATACATTACTATACATAACTACATCCCACCATAATCAACATCAGCTATACATTACTACATCCCACCATAATCAACATCAGCTATACATTACTACATCCCACCATAATCAACATCAGCTATACATTACTACATCCCACCATAATCAACATCAGCTATACATTACTATACATTACTACATCCCACCATAATCAACATCAACTATACATTACTATACATAACTACATCCCACCATAATCAACATCAGCTATACAATACTATACATTACTACATCCCACCATAATCAACATCAGCTATACATTACTACATCCCACCATAATCAACATCAGCTATACATTACTACATCCCACCATAATCAACATCAGCTATACATTACTATACATAACTACATCCCACCATAATCAACATCAGATATACAATACTACATTCCACCATAATCAACATCAGCTATACATTACTATACATAACTACATCCCACCATAATCAACATCAGCTATACATTACTATACATAACTACATCCCACCATAATCAACATCAGCTCTACATTACTATACATAACTACATCCCACCATAATCAACATCAGATATACAATACTACATTCCACCATAATCAACATCAGCTATACATTACTACATCCCACCATAATCAACATCAGCTATACATTACTATACATTACTACATCCCACCATAATCAACATCAGCTATACATTACTATACATAACTACATCCCACCATAATCAACATCAGATATACAATACTACATTCCACCATAATCAACATCAGCTATACATTACTACATCCCACCATAATCAACATCAGCTATACATTACTATACATTACTACATCCCACCATAATCAACATCAGCTATACATTACTATACATAACTACATCCCACCATAATCAACATCAGATATACAATACTATACATTACTTCATCCCACCATAATCAACATCAGCTATACATTACTATACATAACTACATCCCACCATAATCAACGTCAGCTATACATTACTTTACATTACTACATCCCACCATAATCAACATCAGCTATACATTACTTTACATTACTACATCCCACCATAATCAACATCAGCTATACATTACTATATATATATTAAATATACAGGGTGGGCCAAAAGTCAGTACCCATACGTTAGCCTTTATAGCTCAGTCACTGACTGCCCAATTGAAATAATTCTTTCTGGTATGACTTAATACCACCACTGGTTCGAGGAATTTGTCAACTCGAAAAATATTCGTGTTCATTTTTTTCAAATGAAGGTTCACTTTCGCATTTATTTGATAATTTGGATAGTCGGATCGAGCTAAATTTTACTGAATTGTGTTTGGCCATTTGAATTACGTTTGTCCTGAAAAAATTAGAGTTATAGCTTCTCAGATGACCGAGATACGAAGCATAACGAGTTTATTCATTACATGTGATCAGGTGATTGGCTTACCTAATCACGTGATAAGGTGACCCCCGTTAACCACCCCCTTAAACATTATGGGAATTGTTAAGGCTGCCCAATTAAGGTGTCGTGTCACGGTGTCACATAATCACCCAATCAATTTTGCTAACGAGATACAAAAAATGCTTGATATCTTCGTCATTTCTAATCCATTTCACATATTTTTTCAGATAAGATGCAAAATTTAATAATCTACCGTCTCAGAAAAAAATTAGGAGTCCAACATGTTCAGAAAGAACAATATAGGTGTTTTAATATTGAATGGGCGTGGTCTAAAATATTCGAATTTTCAAATTTTGGCGACGGAATCCTCGAACAAGTAGGTACAGTATGCCATCTGCAAAGCAGCAACTCTCAAATATAAAACACGGCGGATGTATAAGACCCAACGTATGGGTACTGACTTTTGGCCCACCCTGGGCCAAATATATATAATATATATATATATTTGTACATATATATATATAACCATAATTCATAAAACTCTAAGTTCTCTTGTTCATGTTCATGTGTCGCTTTAGATGGGTTGAACTGAATCTTTGGATTTTGAGTTATTTTTGACTATAAAGCGATGAATAAATTTCTAGTTACTATTATTATAAAGGGTCTCAATAAGAGGTCTCGACTGCCTAGGCGTCAGACCTTGGCAGTCGGTAGTTTTCCTCTGGCCCGGGATCAGCTGACCCTAGGGACCAGAGGATAAAGGTGTAGAAACTATATGTATCTACAAAACTTTCAAGGTTGTTTTTACAAGAGACAGGGCTTGCTGCGCAAGGGAAGAAAAGCGGGAGAAACACTCACAAATTATACAAATAAATATTATAAAACATAGCAAAAAGAAATTCAAACAATCCTACACTACAACAAATGTTTATTACATACTACAATGTGATACATGATAATTATATGCTGTATAGACAAGAAACAGGGCTTGCAGGGCAAGAGATGGATCAAAGGGACTAGTCACAGAGTGTAATATACAGTGATTCAGCAAGAACCCATTGCTGAATCTGGCACACAAAATACCACAATCAATACAAAAATATACAATATTATATCAAACAATATGTTTATACAAGAATCAGGGCTTGCAGAGCAAGAGAAGAAAAATAAGAGAAAACTACCATCAACTGCATATACCGTAGTCCATCAGATAGGTAATCATTACTAATACACAAATCAGCAGGGCTAACAACAATATAAAATCCATAATAAATACTCAATCTACCCAATATACGAGTTAAAAATTGTATAAACAAGAGACAGGGCTTGCATAGCAAGGGAAGAAAAATAAGAGGACCAGGTAAAAAGTGTTTATTAGAGTACCCAGTGAAAATTAAACTTTAAAAAAAGAGTATTTACAGTGTATTATACACTCAAATATATTATATGTCTAAGACCATCCTGAGAATCCTGGCTGATCCAAGCAGAGCTGTCTTCTGGAGATTAGAGATGCTCAGATTGCAGTGGACTGCGTCGAGGTGTTTACGAAAGTTTATGGTGATAGTTCCTAATGCGCCTATCACCACAGGGACGATTGTGACCTTTCGTAAATTCCAGTTCTTCTTAATTTTTCTTTTCAGGTCTTGATATTTCAGAATCTTTTCTTGTTCTCTATCCAAGATCCGGGTATCTCCTGGGACTGCAACGTCAATGATGGTTGCTGCGTTGGTTACCTTGTCTACCAGGAGGAGATCCGGTCTACAGTGTTCGATAACGTGGTCCGACTGGACATGGAAGTCCCACAATATCTTGACTTGTCCGTTCTCCAGCACCTTCTCTGCCCGGTGTTCGTACCACCTTTTACTGCGTGGGAAGCCGTATTCCTTGCACAGACTCCAGTGCAATGCGGCAGCTACTTTGTCATGCCGACACTTATATTCTGTCTGTGAAAGTTTTGGGCACCCATTCAGTATGTGGTCTATTGTCTCGTAATGATTTCTGCAGAGTCTGCAGAGGGGAGAAGAGCCAGGTGTTTTGTCAATCCTGTGCTTCACGTAATTAGTCCTAAGTGCTTGGTCTTGGGCTGCTATCAACAATCCTTCTGTCTCCTTCTTCAAATCTTGTTGGGTGAGCCAGTTCCAAGAGGTTAACGGGTCTGCTGTACCCATCATCTGCCTTGGGAACTGTCCGTGCATCACTTTAGCAGTCCATTTCTCCTTGCGGATTTCCTCGCGTTGTGTTCGGTCAATATCTTTCTCTATCTCTTCACCCAAGAGTATCTTGTCTTTGACAAAGTAGTCCTTCAGAGCAATCAGTTCTGGGTCTCTACTTCTCACCACATAAGTAGTGAGTGCATTCTCCTCTCTCTTAACGACTTCCTCTATACTATGTAGCCCACGGCCACCCAGTTGACGGCTGACGTATAACCGATCAACATCTCCTTGGGGGTGGTGAGCTCCATGTATCCTCATCAGTTTCCGGGTCTTGACATCTAAGGCTTTGGTCTCCCCAGCATTCCATGAGAGAATTCCAGCTCCATATCTTATCACAGGTACAGCCCAGGTGTTAATCGCTTGTATACTATTCCTGCCATGAAGCTGGGATTTCAAAACCTTTTTAACTCTTCTGATATACTCTTTTGTAACCAGTGCTTTCATCTCTTTGTGTAGTATATCATTAGCTTCTAGTATTCCGAGATACTTATAGCCGTCGTCCTCCAACTCATGGATCTGTTCACCTGTGGGTAGGGAGATGCCTTCAAAAACGGCTCTTGCTCCCTTCTTCACCTTCACCACGGCACATTTCTCTAGCCCAAATTCCATTTTTATGTCACTGCTGAACTCTGCTGTGGTATTAACCAGTGTGTGCATTTCGTCTTCACTCTCGGCATACTTTTTTTTTATTTGAAAATTCAATTAATTATTATATATACAAATCAAGTGTTACATTTCAGCCATGCAAAATTACAATGACATATTTTAATATTCTAATTGAAAAATGGTGCTGCAATATAAGTTGCTTAATGTTTGGCCGGATGACAACTAACTAAAAGAGAAAAATAAACTTGATTACATAATAATTAATTCGGCTGAACCAACACATAGCAAAAGCCACATTAACGTTGGGGCCGTCGAAAATACAACTTGAGGTCGTCCATATATAGCCTATGCGACACTTTCGGTTGACCTCCTCTCTCCAGAAAGTATCCTATGTCATGCTTATTCAAAAGAATGGACAGGGGTATAAGACTAATGATGAAGTGGATAGGTGAGACTGAGTCTCCTTGGAATAGACCTCTATTAATTTTAATTCTCCCAAGGGAAACTTTACCAAGCATCAGGTTAACATACGATTGTTTGAAGGAGGCTTCAAACAGGTCTATGATGCATGAAGAGATGCCACACATGGTCAAACAAGATAGAATCCAGGAGTGTGGGACGCTATCATACGCCTTCTTGTAGTCTATAAACGTCATGTTCAGGTTCCGCTTCCTTCGTTTACAGTTCTTCAGGATGAGTTTGTCTATCATTAACTGTTCTTTACATCCTCTACTCTTCTTCTTGCACCCTTTCTGCTCAGGGGGGAGGAGCTTTTGCTGGTCTAAATGGTGGTAAATGGAATCTGAGATTAGACCAGTGAACAGTTTCCACATAGCTGATAAGCAAGTAATCGGTCTGAAATTGCCTGGGATGGGTCCTTTCGAGTGGTCCTTGATGAGCAGGTACGTGCGTCCCAATGTCATCCAGTCTGGGATATCAGCGTTGGTTAGGCAATTCATAAGTTGATCTGCAATCCTATTATTATTATTATTATTATTTACTAGAGCTCAATCCAAACACATGCACACGGAAAAGTGTTGTTGGGTTTAACACGATGGCATAATATAGTTTTTGAAACAATGGGGAAAAGGGGAAAGAATAGAAAATCAGGTAGTACGGTTAATTTGGGTCCTACTTAACTATTAATTGATTAACTTAGATATCAATTAAAAGTGAACAAGGTAACGAGAAAAATACGTACCTGCTCAGTATCTCTGATATATATTATTATTATTATTTACCTTTTTGAATACTTACCTTGCACGTTTCAAGGATAATTTGGAACAAAATTTATAACATATAATAATAAAGTCTTGTCGTCATCTTCTTACAGCGTTCGATGTCTGTGTGAAGGTAAAATGGTGACATCCTCTGGATCAGGCAGATAAGAGGTCGAGTGTTATCGGGATTACTTCTGTAGTAGAACCTTAGTACTGCTGTACAACTACTACAATATTTTTAACACTTCAATTCAGGTATAGAACTTGACGATGAAGGTCTGAACCTCCTTAACATCCCAGATTGAACAAGATGGGTTGCATTTAAACGAATATGGCCATATCCGAATTCATCGAAATTAACCTAATTTAATTTATACATTAATTGGTTTTTGGGTACAATGTTTTCGTTTGAATGCACATGAAGCGTATCTAGCAGCATAGTGTAATGCACATGAAGCGTATCTAGCAGCATAGTGTAATGCACATGAAGCGTATCTAGCAGCAGTGTAATGCACATGAAGCGTATCTAGCAGCAGTGTAATGCACATGAAGCATATCTAGCAGCATAGTGTAATGCACACGAAGCGTATCTAGCAGCCTAGTGTAATGCACATGAAGCGTATCTAGCAGCAGTGTAATGCACATGAAGCATATCTAGCAGCATAGTGTAATGCACACGAAGCGTATCTAGCAGCCTAGTGTAATGCACATGAAGCGTATCTAGCAGCAGTGCAATGCACATGAAGCATATCTAGCAGCCTAGTGTAATGCACATGAAGCGTATCTAGCAGCAGTGTAATGCACATGAAGCGTTTCTAGCAGCATAGTGTAATGCACATGAAGCGTATCTAGCAGCATAGTGTAATGCACATGAAGCGTATCTAGCAGCAGTGCAATGCACATGAAGCGTTTCTAGCAGCATAGTGTAATGCACATGAAGCGTATCTAGCAGCATAGTGTAATGCACATGAAGCGTATCTAGCAGCAGTGTAATGCACATGAAGCGTTTCTAGCAGCATAGTGTAATGCACATGAAGCGTATCTAGCAGCATAGTGTAATGCACATGAAGCGTATCTAGCAGCATAGTGTAATGCACATGAAGCGTTTCTAGCAGCATAGTGTAATGCACATGAAGCGTATCTAGCAGCATAGTGTAATGCACATGAAGCATATCTAGCAGCCTAGTGTAATGCACATGAAGCGTATCTAGCAGCAGTGTAATGCACATGAAGCGTTTCTAGCAGCATAGTGTAAATATATTTTCAGATTTTAAGAGGACCTGATCACAAGCTGAAGAATATACTGAACTGTAACTTTATAATGTTTTCTAAACAACGATTAACTACCGTTAGATGTCTTTGTGATGTAAGTTACAGTCAACACTTAAAGTTACTACTCGTCTTGACAAAAAACACACGTCTTTTTGTGTTTCACACAAATAATTTGTCATGTCACGTCTTGTAGTTGACTTATTGGATTATTTGCTGGTTTAAAATGTTGCTTGCTATTACTTAGCTCCCTCACTAAGTCCCCAAATCAACTAAATGATACAACAAAGTTTCCGAAAATTTAGGATAGAATTAGAAAGTACAAGCGAGTAAGAACCGCCACGGATGAGCAGATGACAAGACTGATTTTGAAAACAGCTAACATTTTAGTGTCAGTCCTCTGTTTGCAGGTCACCTGTGTTGTAGCCATATCTCACTGTAACCCCACTATTAACGGGTAAGTTACCTGCAATATTTGGTATTTCCTCCTTGTTTCTGTTTGCTACAGTGAAACCCAGATTTACAGCGGGAAAGGAAACATTCATGGTAAATCGTGGTTTATTATCATAAGAATTCAGCATTTAGTTCTAACCTATGTCACCACTAATTATCTATCTTATTTATTGAGTTATTGTAGAGTAAAAACCAGAATGTAACAATTACAGACTCTAGGATGACAACTCTCGTCCACAATTATAATCTGCTGTTCGCTGGCTTCAATATTATGTCTTTAATCTTAACGTTTGCATTAGTTTACTAATTGTCGAGGATATTTCTACCTTGATAACAACTCAGTGTGAAAGGAGCATGCAGGCTGAAACTCACCAACTTCACGATGGCGGGTGCACACAGCGCGGGTTCAGGCGCGTACGGACACCTGGAATATATCCCCGGACTACGCGCGCCGGACTGTAGAACTCGGAACCAGGATAGGAGCTTTACAAAGATGCTGCAGTCAGGTTTGTGGGGTCATAATGTTGTCAGGTGAGCTTTGTGGGGTCATAATGTTATCAGGTGAGCTTTGTGGGGTCATAATGTTGTCAGGTGAGCTTTGTGGGGTCATAATGTTGTCAGGTGAGCTTTGTGGGGTCATAATGTTGTCAGGTGAGCTTTGTGGGGTCATAATGTTATCAGGTGAGCTTTGTGTGGTCATAATGTGATTTTGAAAGATAGGAAAATTTCTAATCTAGGTCCAGATTCTGACAAGATTGGGGGGAGGGGGGCCAACCATATTAAAGTATATTAAAATGTAGGATTTTTCCCGATTTTGACCCGGGGATATACTTTAATATACCTACAATATACCTACAATATACCTACAATATACTTTAATATATCCCTATCTCCTTGGAGGCCTACATCAAAAATTGTTGCCCAAAATAAGCTTGAAATGCAATTCTTAATCGATTCCAAAAAGTTCTTGAAAAAATATTGAAAACTGATGGAGTTATTTCAATTTTAATGAAGTCATTTTGGCTAGTATTCCGAACCGAGATATTACGTGCAATTTTCCCAATTTTGTTCATGGAGGTCTTTTTACTTAGTATCCACTATATTCAACAAACACTGAGTTATATCTTTCACATAGAGTTAGTCTCATTAAAAAATAGTGAAATTTTATCGAATTTGGGCAAAAGCGAATTTGGGCAAAAGCGTATGCCCAAATATGGGCATATTTTTTTAAGCTCATAGCTCAGCCAATTTTTGACCAATCTGTATGGAAATTTATGTACTAGTCCTAAAACAGGCCTATCTTGCGAATCTGATTGAAAAATATAGTTCATCATGTAAATCTTAACGAAGAATATAAATCTTCTAATTGTAGGTATATTAAAGTATATCAAAATATACTTTAATATACCTACAAGATTTTTGTTCAGGAGTCAGGTACTTCGAGCTGAAGGTGCGACACCATCACCGCGTCAGAATACAGGCAACTACAATTATTGAGGAATTTGAGGTACATACCTTGCTACTTCATTGAACTAGATCATGGTGTTTTGTCGAACTAGATAGTTTAGTGTAATTAACCATGTCCATGAATTATGATCATTGATAAAATACTGCCTGTTTAATGTTTATCTGTTCATCATTCCGTCCATGTGCTCAAAAAATGGTCCAGATTGTATCTTCATATTTTAAAAGCCACAAGAATTTATCTTTTCTCTAGACAATAATAATGTGGCATTACAAGGTACCCATACTTATGATTTTGTATTACGATTTGGGTCTCAAATCAAATGTACCCTTGGTGACCTGATGACTTAACCCTAAACTTGCAGATTCCAATTTCCCTTAAGAAGGAGAGGAGTAAAACAACAAAGAGAGACTTACCACTACGCACTGAAGACATGGGAGGTGAGGAGGGAAATGCGGAGAAACAAAAACGGGTAAGAAAGAACGGGTTGCCCTTGATCATACTTGCAAAAGAACACGTCTTGTTGAACATTACTGCTACCATGTTATAAAAGTGTAATCACTTCTCTCCCAGAAAGTTAAGAAGAGACAAGTACTAAGCACTTCCGAGGATGACTTGATACACACTGGTAACAATGTTAGTAAGGAATAGAGGTTCATAATAAGATGTAGCAATATAAGACAAGTTTTGACATCTGTACGTTAATTTATTGCCTCGTAGCCTAATATAGGTACGCCATACTTGAAGAAAGTGTCCACATTGCATCGTTTATATTGTATTCATTTACTCGCCACTGCCTTTTCCTTTTTTATGCCAACATTGACGTTTTTTCCCAAGGACATACTAAGTTTCGTCGACCAAGCAGACTCAAAACGGATAAAAAGGATGAAAAGAGACGCCTCCATTGCCAGTGAGACACTGTACCTGTACCACAACGGCGCCTACAGTAAACCACTCTCCCGTGCTCTCACAGAGATTGACTCCTGGCTAGGTTAGTTAAAATCCAATTCCCTAAGTCACCGGGTAAACCACACCAAGTATTTCCTAAAGTCACCGGGTAAACCACACCAAGTAATTCCTTAAGTCACCGGGTAAACCACACCAAGTATTTCCCAAAGTCACCGGTTCAACCACACCAAGTATTTCCCAAAGTCACCGGGTAAACCACACCAAGTATTTTCCAAAGTCACCGGTTCAACCACACCAAGTATTTCGTGTGTTTTTAGATTAAATATTGAAATTAAAAACTAAAATTAGCTAACACACCAGGTTCGCACAGAAATGAAGTGGTAGTCATCAGACTGAGCAACACGGATGATAATAACCACGATATTTCCTACCAAGTGTCATCAAGGGAGATACAGGCTTTCAAACACACCGGTATCTTATCTTTATATTCTGAGTAATTGTGTCTGTATTTGTAATTTATATGTGTGTGTGTGTGTGTGTGTGTGTGTGTGTGTGTGTGTGTGTGTGTGTGTGTGTGTGTGTGTGTGTGTGTGTGTGTGTGTGTGTGTGTGTGTGTGTGGTGTGTGTGTGTGTGTGTGTGTGGTGTGTGTGTGTGTGTGTGTGTGTGTGTGTGTGTGTGTGTGTGTGGTGTGTGTGTGTGTGTGTGTGTGTGTGTGTGTGTGTGTGTGTGTGTGTGTGTGTGTGTGTGAGTTTTTTTGAGTTTCATATTATTATGTACCTTTCTTATTAACCCCCTATATTCAGAAAACGGGAGCAAACGGTTCAAATTGTTATAATTTGACCCTATAGCATATAAGTTAACATTTCAAAATACTAGAATAATAATATAAGAAATAACAATACTCAAAATAACAATCCCTCGCTCCAGGTTTGAACATAAACCGGAATCCCGCACTGGGACAGGCTGTACAGGCGAACAAGAGAGTTTTGCTCTTCCTGGAACAGAAGAAACAGATAGGATATAACGATGATAGAGTTCACCGCATTGTCAAGGTACAAAATATACTTAACTACCGTATTCGATATAACAACACTTTTTATTATCACTATAGTTAATTATAGAGTATATATTATTAGTATAGTACATCATATATTAGTAGTCATAATATTAGTATATCATAATATATTATTAGTATTGACATTTGACACTCACATGATGTATAATGCGGATTATATTATAGACATATAATATATAATAATTATAAGTACATAATATGCTTTATATATTATAATACGCATGTTAACACTGATATTATATTATTTACCAGCTGGACACCACCATTAAAGTACACGGGGACTGCGCAGAAACTACCACTTTGTACGCGAGAGAACGCATGGAGAAATACAACCACCATATCGTTAGTATTATTGTGTATTACTATTATGTATCTTTGTATTATGTATCTTTGTATTATGTATCTTTGTATTATGTATCTTTGTATTATGTATCTTTGTACGATTTAAACGTTAGAAACCCTTATTTTGGTGAGTGCATGTGGGTTGGATAAAACTGTCACCTCAATAAAGCACTAACAGTTAGCCGAAACTTAAAAACTCAAATCTGTGATTTGAGTATCATGAACAAATCTAAGTACATAGCTATATGAAACTTATGAACCCTGTTAATAATATCGTGTGTAATTAATAATTTAATTAATTAATAGTTAAATTAATTATTAATTTAATAATTTAATTAATTTAAAAACATTTACATTCCTTTCTTTATCAGATTCAGGTGGACTGGTACCACAGGTTGGGTGACACGTGTAACCTGTATCTAGCAAGACTGTGTAACTCACGTGAGATATCACGACTACAGGAGGTGAATAGTGCGCAGCTCAGGGACTACCACCATCCTATCAACGTCATACTCATGGGTACTTTATACACGCAGTTACATTAACATGTTACTGCCTTCAAAATCAAATAAGCAAAATAAACGTAGATTAATTGCGAATACAAATCGTTAGGTGAGAGACGAACTTTATCTTTAAAGCCAATTAGACGCGTGTTAGTTCTTAGTAGCGTTCCATTTCACAGACTAATGTTTTTACTGTAACCTCAGACTTCGTGGAAGTAGGAGACAAAGGAAACCAGCTGAATGACGAGGTACTCGAGATAAACAAGAAAAACGTACAGCTCTGTAAGGCTTGATAGTATTTTAGTATTTAGTTTGCACTATTAGTTTGAGTTTCGTAGCCAATTTCACGCGAGGATTGTGGAGGTTGAATTGTTAGGATATGGACTCTTTAATTTTAAGTTTCTCTCTGATCTTAGTATGAACGATATATTTTCAAGTATATGATAGCAGTCCTAACTTTTATCATGATATTTTCTGGGATGACTAGATTAAACACTGCTAGGATTAAGTTTATCTTAATAGTGGTGTTCTTAAACTTCAATTTTTTTTATTATTATCATAGGGTTACGATATTTTAATATCTTGCTGTAAAATTAGAATTGTATTCCATCAGCAGTGAAATCAATTGTTTGAATTTTAACTTCCTATGTAACGAAATTCAAAAATCATATTTTATATTATGACTCATTTCCCAACTTTAATTGTGAAACTATAACACCCCATGGACGCGAGCAGGTATTCAGGATCCTGAATACTTAAACACTCCAGGGAGTGTTTCAGTAGAGAATTACTTTCTAACCTGATGTCAAGGGGCTGTATTCCAGCCTGCAACCCAAACTGCACCATCTTAGTCTTACATTCTCTTTCTCTTTCTCCGTCCGAACTGATGTCCGTTCCGCTCTCTATACGAGACGACTCCATTGGAAAATGTGCCTGAGAATAAAGGGATTAGATTAAATTTCAGCAACCTTTTAAAGTTTAAAAGTAATTAGAGTAGATACAATATAAGAAAGGTTTCAGCTTCTCAAAAAGAGATTGTCATTGTATTTATCACAATATCATGATGTGAAGTAAATCACGATAAGTTTGGTACGCTGCACAACATAATAATTCAACTAGATCATAATATTATAAAAAATAAGAAAGATCTCCTAAACTGTGAAAATAAACAAAATGCACCTTGACAATGAGACCATCTGGTGAGGTATCACTGCTAGCGGGAGAATCAAGATTACTGCCAACAGGAGAGGGTAAACTACTAGCTGGAGAAAAGAGGGTATCAGGCGAATCTAAAGCTGGTGACAACATTGGTCCTTCTCTTTTCCTCCCTGGTGAGAGTCCACCAGTCATTATTCCTCGTTCCATCCCTCCGTCTGTTCGGCTTCTTTTAGGACATTTAGGGTGACGCTGAGAGGGTTCGTTTATAAATGTGCTCGATAAATGTAAATAGCCTAGAATACTCTTAAAAGTAAAGCTTGTATAGAACTTATATTGTACGTGGATCATAAAATTGAAGTAAGAATGAAAATTTGCATGAGATGAAATCTCAAGATAGAATAGAAACTGGCGATGTATCTTAAAGGAAGATTCAATAGAATCTAGGAGTAAATTACTGTGCTAATTTACAGCAAAAACTTAACGATTACGAACTTTAACATTTACGAGTACGAACTTCAACATAAGTAATATTTGCGGATAAATGAATACCTTGATATAAGAGAGAGATTTAGGGATGGGTGAAATGAAGGGGGAAGCAGCGAACTGAGAGTTTTTAAACAGTGGGTTCTTGTCCGGAGTGAGTCGTCTCTTGCCAGTAGCAGGAGTTTTAGCTTCTGATGCGTCCATATCCTCTGAGATATGGGGAGGGGTCAGTCTACAGTGTGTGATACTAATCTGATACGACCAGTTTATATGCGGGAATATTACAGCCAGCAATTGTCACTCACTCAAACAGTAAAAACAGTAGAAACAGTAGAAACAGTAGAAACAGTAGAAACAGTAGAAACAGTAGAAACAGTAGAAACAGTACAAACAGTACAAACGGTATAAACGGTATAAACAGTACAAACGGTATAAACAGTACAAACGGTACAAACAGTAGAAACAGTAGAAACAGTAGAAACAGTAGAAACAGTACAAACAGTACAAACAGTATAAACAGTAGAAACAGTACAAACAGTAGAAACAGTACAAACAGTATAAACGGTAGAAACAGTAGAAACAGTAGAAACAGTAGAAACAGTAGAAACGGTATAAACAGTAGAAACAGTAGAAACAGTAGAAACAGTAGAAACAGTAGAAACAGTACAAACGGTATAAACAGTAGAAACAGTAGAAACAGTAGAAACAGTAGAAACAGTACAAACGGTATAAACAGTAGAAACAGTAGAAACAGTAGAAACAGTAGAAACAGTAGAAACAGTAGAAACAGTACAAACGGTATAAACAGTAGAAACAGTAGAAACAGTAGAAACAGTAGAAACAGTAGAAACAGTAGAAACAGTATAAACAGTAGAAACAGTAGAAACAGTAGAAACAGTAGAAACAGTAGAAACAGTACAAACAGTACAAACGGTATAAACAGTAGAAACAGTAGAAACAGTAGCAACAGTAGAAACAGTAGAAACAGTAGAAACAGTACAAACAGTATAAACAGTAGAAACAGTAGAAACAGTACAAACGGTATAAACAGTAGAAACAGTAGAAACAGTAGAAACAGTAGAAACAATAGAAACAGTATAAACAGTAGAAACAGTAGAAACAGTAGAAACAGTACAAACAGTACAAACAGTACAAACGGTATAAACAGTAGAAACAGTAGAAACAGTACAAACGGTATAAACAGTAGAAACAGTAGAAACAGTACAAAAGGTATAAACAGTAGAAACAGTAGAAACAGTAGAAACAGTAGAAACAGTAGAAACAGTAGAAACAGTAGAAACAGTAGAAACAATAGAAACAGTATAAACAGTAGAAACAGTAGAAACAGTAGAAACAGTAGAAACAGTAGAAACAGTACAAACGGTATAAACAGTAGAAACAGTAGAAACAGTAGAAACAGTAGAAACAGTACCTATATGGAGAGAGTAGCTGTTGCCGGGGGTGGACATGAGAAGATGAGGTAGTCTCCTACCCGGAGTGTTGAACCCAGCCAGGTTACCATGGTGACCAAGTGCAGGGGTACTGTGCAGACCTGCTCCACTGTTTAGTCGGGCTGGGGTCCGGAAATTGGAGAATGCTGAGATTAAACACTTGGTTTTATTTATAAATATCTATAATAAATGTACTAATAGATAATAATATGTTAAATCATGCTGGCTAGCAGTACTCTGATGTATTATAGAATAATGAGAAAGTGGATCTCATTAAAGTCCGTCTATCCTACACAACTGTCATCTGCAACATGTCTAGGTGTAGTTGGTCAAAAGGTTATCCTATATCTAATATCATATCTACAAGATAGCACGAATACACACGGTTTGACTACTCTTGCTTTCCCCTGAAAAATTGAGCATTAAAAGGAGCACCATCGCTTGAATACCGTGAATTTTAAAAGCTGCCTCTTCCACACAAGCTAAGAAGACAAACTGTACACATACCAAGAAGTATTGGAGTAGCGGGTGACTTGGAAACACAAGGGGACGGGGCGATAATTCTATTCTTGAAGTACGAATCCACAGTCTGCTGATGCTTATCATCGTTATCATACTCTTTCCTGGATAATAAAGATATCAATATTGTAATTATCTATTGGATCATATCGTACAGAAAATGTAACGACATTTCCAAAATCCAATGTGATAGTCTTGGTGCGCGCGCTCATCTCGTTAACATTCCAAAATAACTAATAATCTTACACGGCTGTTCTAGCGTGGATTTTAATCCGATAGGATTTCGCTATTCCTAGTTGGACGACGTTCACTGTCCTAGGGTGATCCGATCGCATTTCAGATCGCCGTCCGATCGCTCCTGAGAGCTAGGCGCTCGGATTTTATTTTTGAGAGGCGATAGGATTAAAAAAACCGAGAGCCTAGCTCTAGGATTTTTTTGTTTCCGAGAGGTGTGCTCTCGGATCTATGTTTCCGAGAGGTGTGCTCTCGGATTTATCATTTCCGGGAGATAAAATGCGTGTTGCGCGTTTCCGAACTCAAATAAAATTCCATCGAGATAGAAAACATGAAAAAAAATTTAAAATATTAACTTTTAGTATGTTTTCATTCTTCCGTAAAATTAATGAGAAAATATAGAGAAGCAAAATTCATCATCATTGAATACGGCTATACTCGGTTGAATACACCCCATCTCGTTCGATCGGGGAAGTTAAGCAACTGCAGGCCGGGTTAGTACTTGGATGAGTGACCGCCTGGGAATTCCCGGTGCCGTATCCTTTTGTTATATTTCCGAAGAATAGTTTTGCTGAACAGAAGAAATTGTGAATGGCTTTTTCCGAATTGCAGTGGTTATTAAGAATAGCATTTTATCCTTAGCAATATAGTCTATGTTCAAACGCAAGGAAATGTTTCCAAATGTCAGAATAACATGGCTTAGAATAGCTACAAAGTTTTGTCTGAAAGGGCTTTGTTGTTTCATTCTAAGATCTATCTGAAACATTCTTATCTGCTCAAAATTGATTAGAATATATTCTTAAGTTAACTTGAAGAGTACTACAAGGTATCCTGAAGTTAACTTGAAGGGTACTGGGTACTACAAGGTATCCTAGAGTTAACTTAAAAAGTACTACAAGGTTATATCCTGAAGTTAACTTGAAGAGAACTATAAGGTATCCTGAAGTTAACTTGAAGAGTACTGCATGGTATCCTGGAGTTAACTCAAAAAGTACTACAAGGTAACCTGAAGTTAACTTGAAGAGTACTACAAGGTATTCTGAAGTTAACTTGAAGGGTACTATAAGGTATCCTGAAGTTAACTTGAAGGGTACTACAAGGTATCCTGAAGTTGACTTGAAGGGTACTGGGTACTACAAGGTATCCTAGAGTTAACTTAAAAAGTACTACAAGGTTATATCCTGAAGTTAACTTGAAGAGAACTACAAGGTATCCTGAAGTTAACTTGAAGAGTACTACATGGTATCCTGGAGTTAACTCAAAAAGTACTACAAGGTAACCTGAAGTTAACTTGAAGAGTACTACAAGGTATTCTGAAGTTAACTTGAAGGGTACTATAAGGTATCCTGAAGTTAACTTGAAGGGTACTACAAGGTATCCTGAAGTTGACTTGAAGAGTACTACATGGTATCCTGGAGTTAACTCAAAAAGTACTACAAGGTAACCTGAAGTTAACTTGAAGAGTACTACAAGGTATTCTGAAGTTAACTTGAAGGGTACTATAAGGTATCCTGAAGTTAACTTGAAGAGTACTACAAGGTATCCTGAAGTTAACTTGAATAGTACTTCAAGTTATCCTGAAGTTGACTTGAAGAGTACTACAAGTTATCCTAGAGTTAACTCAAAAAGTACTTCAAGGTTATATCCTGAAGTTAACTTGAAGAGTACTAGGTATCCTGAACTTAACTTGAAGAGTACAACAAGGTATCCTGGAGTTAACTCAAAAAGTACTACAAGGCAGTGGTCGACCGGGATCGAAATTTAGTCCCGGCCGGGACCGGGACCAAAATGAAAACCCGGCCGGGACCGGGATTAGCCTCATCCCGGCCGGGACCGGGATTTTTCCAATATTTCTCAATCTCAGTTAAAATGAGACAGTGTTATATATAATGTATATATACATTCTGGAAGTTTGTTCTGGAAGATTTTATTTAACATATATGTTAAATAAAATCTTCCAGAACAAACTGAGGTATGTCAAGTTAAAATTGACAGTAAGTAGTAGTAACTACTTTATCACTCTCTAATCTCTATCTCTCTATATCTTTCTCTATCTCTCTCTCTCTCTCTCTCTATCTCTCTCTATCTCCCTCTATCTTTCTCTATCTCTCTATCTCTCTCTTTATCTCTGAGATAGAGAGCGCGAGCGCTCTCATTGGTGGATCGACCTATTTCATCAGATGAAAAAGCTGATGAGGGCGAGGTCCCTGACTCTTGAGTATTTCTAAGTTTGTTCGGACTTCAGCTTTCTTCTAACATTTTGTAATTTGTTACTCATGAAGTGAACAGTTGAACATATAATTAATTTTGAACATTAGTAAATTTTGTTTGACTTGAAATTTGCCAACTACCATTGATCAAAATTCATAGAATTTTGATCATGTAACATAAACATTTCACATAAGACTTGAAAGTTGAATTTTCAATAAACTTTTGGCGACGAGAAAGTGAAATGATCTAACTATTGAGAAGCACTGTAGACCACTGTTGTATTAAAACTTTTCTGAAAATGTTCACAGGTTCGTGAAATTTGGGCTCAAATATACGCTAAAAAACCGACTTTATTTTGGAAAAATCCCGGCTAAAAACAAAATCCCGGCCGGGACCGGGACAAAATCGCCAAATCCCGGCCGGGATCCCGGTCGAGCTCTGCTACAAGGTAACCTGAAGTTAACTTGAAGAGTACTACAAGGTATCCTGAAGTTAACTTGAAGAGTACTACAAGGTATCCTAGAGTTAACTCTTATAGAGAACTACAAGTTAGCTTCAAGTTATCATTTATCTACTTAATTTAACCTAAACAACCTCCATGTTGTTGTAACCTGCAGGCAACCGTGGATCAACTTAAGATAAAGCGATGATATGATCTGAAGTTAACTGACAGAAAGCATGAAGTTTCAACCTACAGTTAGATATGCGTTGTCTTCCAATTATATCGGTCCTGATATTTGAAATTTGATCGCCTCTCGGATTTGCTCTCGGATCCTATAGGATTTGAGTATCCTATCGGGTCCGAGAGCAAATCCTATCGGCACTCGGAATTGTTAAATCCTATCTCCGCTAGGATTATATGGTTACATAGAAATATACACGATTTTCAAATAAATATGGAATTATATCAATTGGGCGGCGCTCGGCATGTCACTTCGCCATATTTGCATGTTTATATAAACAGTAAAGACTGGGCCGTCCCCAGATTGTATGGAATATGATAAATACGCCATCACGGATCGGGAAATTGAGCGGCCATCCACAAAAGAAAAGCGGCCGCATTTCTTGTTACTGTTATATTCCCTATATTTCGTTAAATAGGTACTGTGCCTACTGTGTACCCTGTGTAACTGTTCAAAGATATGTTGACGACACAAATAGAGATCTGGATTTAGCGACCGGATTTAGTGACTGGATTTAGATAAATATTGGTGAGATCTTTATTCTTTAGACCTCTTATATTATTCGGACATAAAATCTGGACCCAAAGATCTCTCTGATGTTTGAGTGCTGAATCGGTTCTGCTTTCGATTCGTTAGCTGGGTAAATTGATAACACCTTCAGTGATAATAATTTCATTGCAAGATTCATAAATCTTCTTTTGCTTACTGTGCATTGTGCAACCCATGGAGTTTGATCAAAAAAATTAATGCAGATCATGATCATGCCGTAAAGTTTTTCGTAATACGTCAGTTCAGTTAATAACTTTATCGGGTTTATCCTTCTCTTGTTTCAAAGTTTTTCTGGTAAAACTCTTCGATATACGATTTAGGAGTCGAGGGTTCCCCTTTGTTATGCGATCTCGAAAGGCAGGCCTGATCCCCTTTGTAACACGAGCTCGCAAGCGGGAGCTCTGCCTTCCAAGGTTCGTATTGATATCGACTCGGACTGAAAATTATCCAAGTCAAAAATTTCAAACTTTTTCTGGGAACTATTTCATTTCATGTTTCAAGCTACCCTGATCATTATGAGCCAAACATTTTTTTTTCGGTTTCAAAGTCCGGCCGCACCTACCGTTCGATATACAATTTAGGACTCGAGGGTTCCCCTTTGTTATGCGATCTCAAAAGGCATACCTCCCCTTTGTTACACGAGCTCGGAAGCGGGAGCTCTGCCTTCTAAGGTTAGTATCGAGATCGACTCGGACTGAAAATTTTCAAAGTCAAAAATTTTCAAACTTTTTCTAGAAACTATTTCAGTTCATGTTTCAAGGTACCCTGATTATTTTATTTTGAGCCAAACATATTTTTTTCGGTTTTCAAAGCTTTAGTGTGATTATAATAAGTGATTATAATAAGTCGTTTGCTTTGTACAAAATTATAATACATAGAAGTTGCGAAAAAATGTTTGTCCGCTAATGTCCACCAATGTCCGCTAATGTCCACCAATGTCCTTC